TTGGCCTAAATCTATGGCTAAATTTGAGTTTATTGGATATTTGTTATAACAGAAAGTAAAAAATATCGGGGGGGGGGGGGGGGGGGGTTCAGAATTGTTGGTCTTTTTTTGTTTATAAAATATATTTTAAAAAATAAAAAAAACAGTGGTGTTCAAATATCACCAAAAGAAAGCACTATTTGCGTAAAAAAAGGATATCAATTTTGTTTGGGTACAGTGTTGCATAACTGCACAATTACCAGCTGAAACAGCGCATTGCCGAATAGCAAAAATGGCCTGGTCATGAAGGAGGTAAAGTGGTTAAACAACATTTTTTTGCTTTTACGCACAAGTACTCTTTTTCCACTTTCTAGTTTTTTTTAGGTACAAGTGATGTAACTGAAGCCTCACAGTTGCATCCCGGGAAGTTCCTGTCACATGTTCCATGAGGAAGACCCAGAGATTTATGGTGAGTACCAAGAAGCAAAGGGAGTTTTCATCTGCCCTTAGTAAAAATGTCCACTGTGAGAAGGGAAAAGAAAAATAAAGTAAGCGAAGAATAAAAAGCCTACAATATCTATAAGTATCTGTTTGCAGATATCTATTACTAAAGGCGCCTTTGTTGTAATTTTTTATCCTAAGGGTGAAGTTTCACTGAGGAATTGGGTTTTGTTCCATTTTTTTTACCGAAAGTTTACTATCTTTTTTTTTTCTACTGCGTTGCTGCACTTCTGGCTTTGTTTCCTCGGCCAGAATGACATGAAGTCCTGCTGCCTTCTTGGATCCTCCATGACTTGCTGTGGGGTAGAAGCTCACTGCAATATTGTACACATGCACATATTTGTCTGTTCATGCACAAACAAACTGCAAAGCACCCACATGATTCACTGCCAGGAACCAGCATGCATGTACACACATGGAAATGCCCCGTGCACACACAAAAATGAGACACGGCTCCTTATGACCTGTCAGAAAACTGATACACATTGGTGCACATGCAAGATTATGCAAAATGGTGGCACTGAAGTGAAATGGGGCTTAACAATATCTTCTAGGTGAAGTTCCCTTCTTAGCACTACCCATTTTAATTGTAGTCTGTCATCTGTCAGTAGAAGAATCTGATTGGTTACAATAAACGACTGACAGCTCTTTTGATAATAGACACCAGGGCTGTTTTTCAGTGAGAACGCGGGGTAATGCACATCCAGCACTGAATGTATGTAATAACATGGGGTGCTGGTGTGTGCTGGAGGGTCTATTGATGTTGGCTGATGGATGATCTATTGTTGCTGGTGGGGGAGGATTTCCTGATGAGGGAGGGGTCTATTGTTGCTGAAGGGTCAGTTGTTGCTGGGATGGATCTACTGTTAAGGGAGGGGGTCTGTTGGTGCTGACTGTTGGGGGATCTATTGTTGCTGGCGGGGGTCTGTTGTTGCTCAAGTGGGACCATTGTTGTTGGGGGTTCTTTTGCTGCTGAAAGCAGGGGGTCTATTTTTACTACTTTTTATGTTATTTTTAGCAAATTCTATACAAATTACTTAACACAAAATGATGCTGAGTTCTGTATTCACTAAAAGGGATGGTACTGGTAGGTGGGTAGGCAGTGGAACCAAAGGATTGTGCTCATAGGTAAGTAGAGGGCGTAGACAAGGGGTGACTAGGATGGGGGGAGTCCCTGTACCTATTCTCTGAGAAAAAAAATCCCTGATGAACACTTAACATTGTAGCCTGTGAGCAAAATTAGTGACAACAAACTGTCAGTCTTCTTGAAGCAGATGATGTTTCGATTATACTACTTGCATGTTTTTCCCATTTTCTTCCAATGTTGATATAAATCCTCACATTCTTAGGTGCTATAATTTCTTGTGATATCTTTAAAGATGATATTAACCCACTTGCCAGATGACAGTATTTTGATGAATTTTATTAATATTCATAATTACAATACAGACACTACGCTTCTGTATTGAGGAATTCCCCAGAACTCGGATTGCATTAGAAGAGAATAACTGAGCAGCGCTATGGACCTGTGCATTCAAACATTAAGTCAACCACATACTTGTGTTTAACCTCTTGTGCCAAAGAATGAAACAATGCAATTTTCAAATTTATTAAAGATAAAAAAAAAACAAATATTGTCCACCATACAGTGTCCTTGTGTTTTTTTACAGTGCCTCTTAAAACAGAACTACACTGTATCTGAGCACCACAAAAAAACGCTATTTAATTCATTTTTGTTATTCAAAGCAAACTCCCTCATCCATCCATGTCTAAATGCTTTATTTTGCTGAGAAATCACTTTAAAAAACATCCCCCTAGCATTTCTAGCTGTGGCCATCTTGAATAAGGGCAGATGATTCATGTAGCATTTACTTCCTGGGATCCATCTGCGCTTAGCTAAGACATGTAGGAAGGGGGTGTGCTTATCTCTGCAAACTCCTCCTGACCTCCTGAGGACTCCCGAGATGTGCGCCATTATTTGCCTTGACATGGAAACCAGGAAGTAGCCGAATAAATGTAAAAAAAAAAAAAGTTTAAAACACATAAATATGATATACTTTTCCTATCTATTTACTAATGGTAGCAGCATAAGGATTAAAATAATCAATGTTGATTGAAAGAGTTAGGTTCTTCTTTCACTACTTCAATACCGGACACTTTCACCCCCTTCCTGCTCAGGCCAATTTTCAGCTTTCAGAGCTGTCACACTTTGAATGGCAGTTGCGTGGTCATGCAACACTGTACTTGTATAAAATTTGTATAATTTTTTTTCATAGAAATAGAGCTTTCCTTTGGTGGTATTTAATCACCACTGGTGGTTTTTATTTTTTGCTAAACAAACGAAAAATAGACCAAAAATTTTTAACCCCTCCCCGAAAAAAAAAAACCCTTTTCTTAGTTTCTGTTATTAAAATTTGCAAATAAGTACATTTTTTTCTTCACTGATGTGCACTGATGAGGCTGTACTGGCGGGCACTGAAAGGCTGCATTGATGGGCAGTGAGATAAGCTGCACTGATGGGCACTGATGAAGAGGCACTAATGAGGCTGCACTGATAAGGCAGCACTGATGGGCACTGATATGCTGCACTGATGGACACGGATTGGCATTTATGGGACTGCACTAATGATCAGTGCCCTGATTATCAGTGTAAATGTCCCCTGTCACAGGGTTATAGGCTTTCCTTTCCTCACACTGTGACAGCGCTAAGGAAAGGAAATGCCGATAATCTGAATTTGTTTATATCTGATCAGCTGTGATTGGGCACAAATGACCACATGGTAAAAAGCTAACGTTATTAGCTCTTGACCCTGATCAGTGATACGTTGTGTCTGTGGGACACAGCTCGCCACTGATCACCACGCTGTGCACCCCCGGGGCGTGCACAAGTGGCTGTCAATCTGCTATTGGCCAGTCTGGAACCAGTTAAACGTACACGTCTTCTGCATTCATAAAAACCAAAGAAGATAAGATCACATGAAAGAGCCCCACAATGTGACAACTAGGTCTTCACTGTGCACATGCATATTCAGTCACCAGTAACTGTGCTCCAAAACAAAGGCGGCAGTGCTGTATTCCCCCTTAAAATGGTAGCAAATGCTCATTTATTATTTGTACCTACTGGTAAGCTTATACTAAAGCTTACCTGTAGGTAAAATGAATATTTCCTAAATGTTAAATGATAGCCACTCGTATTCTTCTGGTTCCAGGTGACGTCATCAGCTGCCAGCCTCCCTGCGCTTCTCTGCTACCCCTGGAGCCCTGGACACCACCAGAGTGGCCGGGATGAGGAGGACCAAACAGGATCCAGCCGTTGCACCACTGGGAAACACCCCATTATGATATTTTATTTCACATCCTACGTTTGTGAGTTTTTTAATTAAATTTCTTGGTTTTATGAAACATCTACACTTAGAGTAACGTCGCTGTGTTTCCTCTCTCCTTCTGTGTACTAGAGTTGCTTCTTGCTCTGAGAGCTGGCCACCTTCTACCCCGAGACCTACATCTACTAAAGAGACAACTCTTATCCTTGGATTTATACCTACTAGGACATTGTTGGCTTTTATATGTCCGCTAGCCTTTACTTACATGTATGGAATTTAATTTCATTTTTACCTGGTATATATATATATATATATATATATATATATATATATATATACACACACATGTATATAGATACATGTTTATTGTTGGATTATACATCTGGGACTTTCTAGAGCTCCCCACTTTTCTCCTTTTAATATCACCTAAATGTGAATCGTTTAGCAGATATTCTAGTGAGCTGCAGCCAATGACATCAGCGGCACATGCGCTCTGAAGAAACGGTATACCCATGATGTTCCTTCAGAGCCATATGCTGTGGCTGAGACTCCCACATGGGATTGACGTCATCGTGGCTCGGTCAGTCAAGTGGCCGCAGCCCGCGAATCCGGAAGGAAGACAGGGTGAAAATGGATTCCTCCACAGTGGTGATAGCGTGCCGCCGGAGGGCTTTGTTTTTACCGCTTCTCAACCGCCCTATAGCAGAAGTACTGCTGCAGGGTGGCAGGGATGTGCAAAATCACATATACAGGGGCAGACTGACCATTTGGAAACTCGGGCACTTCCCGAGGGCCCGGGGTCAGTAGGGGGCCCCATGAGATGCCCCTGGTACCTTTTTCATAGGCTTTTTTGAGTTTGGGCAAGGACACAGGGGCCCCATGATCCCCTATTGCCCGGGGGCCCCATGAGTTGTCAGTCTGCCCCTGCACATATATATACATGAATTAATTTTTCTGGGTAGGGAGCGGGCACGCACTCCCTACCCATGTCATTACTGGCTCCTCGGCATGTCAGTCACCAGGTCCCAGCCGTTGATTCTCGGCTGGGACTCAGTGATCGTCGGCAAAGCTGATAGGGGAGAGGTCTGTATGTAAACAACACACAGCAGAGCAATACAAAGCAGTATATCTCCCTAGTAAATTACACACAGCACACAATGTAAAACACAGCACAGCACACTGTTAACCATTTGATCCCCCCAGATGTTAAACCCTTCCTGCCCAGTTCCATTCGTACAGTGTCAGTGCTTTTTATTAGCACTGATCACTGTATTAGTGTCACTGGGGATGCCAGTGGCAGTTAGTCAGCTCCCACCCAGTGTCAGGATGCCCACCGCAGTCCCGCTATAAGTCGCTGACTGCTGCCATTACTAAAAAAAAAAATTCCAGAATATATACCGCCATTTGTAGACGCTATAACTTTCATGCATGTAAACCAATTAATTTACTTGTATTGGGATTGTAGCAGAATACATTTTGGCCTAAATTTATGAAGAAAATTTTTTTGGATATGTTTTATAGCAAAGAGTCAAAAATATTGTTTTTTTTTTTTTCAAAATTGTCAGTCTTTTTTTGTTTATAGCGCAAAAAAAAAAAAAAAAACCCAGAGGTGATTAAATACCACCAAAAGAAAGCTCTATTTGTGTGAAAAAAAAGGACATAAATTTCATTTATGTACAGTATTGCATGACCGCACAATTGTCAGTTAAACTAGCGCAGCGCCGTATAGCAGAAAATTGCGTAAATTGCAGTACCTATGCCATATTTTTGCAGACGCTATAACTTTCATACAAAGCAATCAATATACACTTATTGGGATTTTTTACCAAAAACATGTAGCAAATACATTTTGGCCTAAATTTATGACTAACTTTGAGTTTACTACACCCTGTTCTAAATTATTATGCAAATGATATTTTGCTAATTTACCTAAATAATTGATGTAAATAACAGTCAGCATAATTATGTTAGCAACTATTAAGAGTACAATTCACATTTTATTGAACAAACCTCCTAATGATAACAGTATTTTTGTTAAACATAAAAAACTTACAATGCACTGTTCCAAATTATTACGCACAGTAAGTTTCAAAACACTTTATAGGTTGTAAAGAACTGAAAATTGTCATTTTTTTTGTGTTAGCAGCATATTTACTGAAATCAAAAGCTATTTCAATCAAACTTTTAACAACATTTTAACTTTTTAAACATTTTAAAAGGTCACGTTACATTTTAACATAGGACCTCTTATTCGATAGCAGCTTCACAAGTTTTGCATCCATTGAACTTGTGAGTTTTTGGACAGTTTCTGCTTGAATTTGTTTGCACGATGTCAGAATAGCCTCCCAGAGCTGCTGTTTGGATGTAAACTGCCTCCCACCCTCATAGATCTTTTGCTTGAGGATGCTCCAAAGGTTCTCAATAGGATTGAGGTCAGGGGAGGATGGAGGCCACACCATGACTTTCTCTCCTTTTATCCCCATAGCAGCCATTGATGCAGAGGTATTCTTTGCAGCATGAGATGGTGCATTGTCATGCATGAAGATGATTTTATTACGGAAAAGCATAGTTCTTCCTTCTGTACCAGGGAAGAAAGTGGTCATTCATAAACTCCACGTACTTTGCAGAGGTCATTTTTACACCTTCGGGGACCCTAAAGGGGCCGACCAGCTCTGTTCCCATGATTTCGGCCCAAAATATGACTCCATCACCGCCTTGCTGACGTCGCAGCCTTGTTGGAACAGGGTGGCCGTCCACCAACCATCCACTACTCCATCCATCTGGACCATCCAGGTTGCACGGCACTCATCAGTGAACAGGACTGTTTGAAAATTAGTCTTCATGTATATTTCTGCCCAATGCAGCCGTTTCTGCTTGTGAGCATTGGTTAGTGGTGGCCGAATAGAAGGTTTATGCACAGTTGCAAGACTCTGGAGGACTCTACACCTTGATGTCTGTGGGACTCCAGAGGCACCAGCAGATTCAAATATCTGTTTGCTGCTATGTAATGGTATTTTAGCAGCTTCTCTCTTGATCAGATGCATGGATCTGGCAGAAATCTTCCTCAATGTGCCTTTATCTGCACGAACCCGACTGTGCTCTGAATCAGCCACAAATCTCTTAATAGTGTGATGATCACGCTTAAGTTTTCGTGAAATATCTAATGTTTTCAAGGCATTGAAGTATTTCACTCTTTTGGCAGCAGAGAGATCCATTTTCTTCCCCATATTGCTTGAAAATGGTGCTCTGCCTAATAATGTGGAACACCATCCTTTAGTAGTTTTTCCTTAAATTGGGCTCACCTGCCAATCTAATTATCACAGGTGTCTGAGATTGTTTTCAGTGATCAAAAGAGCCCTGACACACAGTGCCATCCATAAGTTCAACTGAAACACAAAATATTTAATCTTTGTGACACTTAAATAGAATTTGCATAATATTTTGGAACAGGGTGTATATATTTTCTTATAGCCGAAAGTAAAAAATATAGCTTTTTTAAAAAACATTTTTGGCCTTTTTTGTTTATAGCGCAAAAAAAAAAACCTGAGATGATCAGATACCACAGAAAGAAAGCTCTATCTGTGTGAAAAAAGGACATAAATATTGCTTGGGTGCAGCATTGCATGACCACGCAATTATCAGTTGTGTCATAACGCAAAAAATGGCCTGCTCCGGAAGGGGGGTAAATCCTCTGGAGGGCAAGTGGTTAAGGTAATGAGTCAGCAGAACTCGTGTGGCCCTATGATATTATGTGGCCCCATGAAGTCAAACTTGCTTTGCACTATGGACCATAGGTCATGTGACACCTTTCTCCAGACAGCTCACACAAGAGTATAGGGAGACCACAAACGCAGCTTATTGCACACCATCTTTGTTAAATATTTCTCCCCCTCCCCCATCATACATGAAGACACGCCCTCACACGTTTATATACACCCTAACTGGCATTTGGGATGTCCAGAGCTTACAGTCAGCCTGAACGCCACCATTCCCATCCCTTTACCAGAATGCGCTCTAACCGCAGGAAGTAAGGTCACAAGAAGTGACATCAGCATCTACATGTCCGCGGGTCATCACACAGGGCATCCTCAGGAAGCGTCAGGTGACATCACTTCCTGCAATTGAAAGGCATGCTGGGGAACGGGAGCGGTGCTGAGCTATAACTGCTGGACATGCTAAGTTAGCGGTCACATAAACATGTGAGTGCATATTTTAGTATATTTATGTATGGGGGGGGGGGTATATTTAACCACTTCCCCTCCAGAGGATTTACCCCCCTTCCTGACCAGGCCATTTTATTGTTTCAGCGCTGCATTACTTTGACAATTGCACCGTCATGCAACGCAGCACCCAAATTAAATGTATGTCCTTTTAATTAAATGTATGTCCTTTTTTTCCCTACGAATAGAGCCTTCTTTCAGAGGTATTTGATCACCTGTACATTTTTTATTTTTTGCGCTAAAAAAAAAGCGACAATTTTGAGAAAAAAAAACAATGTTTTTGACTTTTTGCTATTAAACATGTCCAGTAAAAAAAATAAAAAAATCAAATTTTGTCATAAATTTAGGCCAAAGTGTATTCTGCTACATGTCTTTGCTAAAAAAAAATTCCTACACATGTAAATTAATTGGTTTGCAGGAAAGTTATCGCGTTTACAAATGGCGGTATATATACTGGAATTTCTTTTTCTACTAGTAATGGCGGCGATCCGAGACTTGTAGCGGGACTATGGGACTGCGGCAGGCATTCTGTGATTGGGGGGAACTGACTTGGTGTCACTGACATCCCCAGTGACACCAATACAGTGATCAGTGTTAATAAAAAGCACTGACACTGTACTAATGGCACTGGATAGGAAGGGGTTAACATCTGGGGCGATCAAAGGGTTAACTGTGTGCCATTTCACAGTGTGCTGTGTGAGTGTTTTCCACTGTAAGCACAGTGCTTTGTATGGCTCTGATATGCCATACAAAGCAGTCACATCTAAGAATTGGTAAGCTGAAATATAATACATTTTTGCTTTTGGGTTTAATAGTGCTTTTAACTCAGGGCCTACTAATATAGATTAGATGTCCACTATTGTCTAGGTTTTCAAATGGTTTATAATACATCTAGACAGATAGATAATATGCTAATGCACCTAATTCCTCTCATAGCTATTAAATATGGTACTCAGACTATCCTCAGCTTGATAATTAACAGTCTATACAAAAAGCTCTCCAAGGTGTAAATCATATAGATTAAATGCTAATGTGCTCTAGACTCACTCCTCCCATAGGATGCCACAAGGGCAGTGTTTCCTGATGTTGTAAGTGGATATTAATAAAAAATGAATGTGTTGACGTTACTGAGATTTTCGTACCTTAAAAGTCCCATATGCCTATTTTGAATTCTTTGGTTGTCAGTATTTATGGATAAATCTTTCTGGTAAACTTAACAAAAAAAAAACAATATATGTGGGACGTTATGGGTGTCCAGATTTATATACAATACACACCACTGTTAAAATTCATACGTTTATTTGCTTTTTTAAACCAATAAAATACTACACTATATTTTCTTGTCCCTTGCCTTGATGGCATGGTCATTTCTGGAGGGATGTTTCAGAGAAGAACGAGACAATGGAGGAAGTAAAGTAGATGAATATTATCCATTTAGAGCAGGGTTCTCCAAACTATGGCCCAGGGGCCAGATGCAACCCTTTGCTCACCTTTATCCGGCCCTTGGGCCACCATTTTATCCACTGACTCCAACAGGGCATTAATCTTCCCACAGATACAAACGACCAGATACTATTCCTCCCACTGATGGGAATGATGGGGCACTATTCCTCCCACTGACAACAACAATGGAGCACTATTCCTCCCACTGACAACAACAATGGAGCACTATTCCTCCTACTGACAACAACAATGGAGCACTATACCTTCCACTGATGCCAACAATGGAGCAGTATTCCTCCAACTAATAGGAATGATGGGGCATTATTCTTCCCACTGACACCAACATTGGGACACTATTCCTCTCACTGATACTAATGATGGGGCACTATTTTTCCCATTGACATCAATGATGGAGCACTATTTTTCCCCATTTACATCAATAATGGGGCACTATTCATCCCACTGACACCAATGGTGGGGTACTATTCCTCCCACTGATAACAATAATGGAGCAGTATTCCTCCCACTGACAACAACAATGGAGCAGTATTCCTCCTACTAACACCAATGATGGGGCACTATTCCTCTCCCACTGTCACCAACAATGTAGCAGTATTCCTCCCACTGACACCAACAATGGAGCAGTATTCCTCCCACTAACACCAATGATGCAGCACTATTCCTCCCACTGACACTACCGATGGGGTACTGTTTCTCCCACTGACAGTAACAAAGGGGCACTATTCCTCCTACTGACACCAAAAATGGAGCAGTATTCCTCCCACTGACACCAATGATGCAGCACTATTCCTCCCACTGACACTAACGATGGGGTATTGTTTCTCCCACTGACAGTAACAAAGGGGAACTATTCCTCCCACTGACGCCAGTGATAGAGCACTATTTCTCCCAATGATACCAACAATGGGGCACTATTCCTCCCTCTGATACTAATAATGGGGCACTATTTCTCCCACTGACATCAATGAAGGGGCACTATTTCTCCCATTGACATAAATGAATTAGCACTATTCCTCCCACTGACACCAACAATGGGGCACTATTCCTCTCACTTACACCAATGATGTTGCACTATTCCTCCCACTGACACCAACAATGGGGCACTATTCCACCTATAATACTAAAAAAGAGGCATTTTCTACTCCCACTGGCCCCAGTCCTGCCCTC